CTGGCACAGGCTGGACTCTGACCTGCTTTAGCCTCGTACCGTTCAAACTCAAAGACTGGAAACAGGAAAGTTTGGAATGATTTTTGAACATGACAAATTAGTTCCTAGAATCTAAATCAGGCAGGTCAAAGTCCGGCCCGTGGGCCGAGTGTGGCCCACAAGACCATTTATAGTGGCCCCTGAAATGGTTTCAATGATCATTCTTACAGTCATTTACAGAATTGTGTTGCTGTTTGTGTGGCAGTTTGTGTTGCTGTTTGTGTTGGTGTTTGTGTTGCTGTTTGTGTTGCTGTTTGTGTTGGTGTTTGTGTTGCTGTTTGTGTTGCTGTTTGTGTTGCTGTTTGTGTTGCTGTTTGTGTTGCTGTTTGTGTTGCTGTTTGTGTGGCTGTTTGTGTTGCTGTTTGTGTTGCTGTTTGTGTGGCTGTTTGTGTTGCTGTTTGTGTTGGTGTTTGTGTTGCTGTTTGTGTTGCTGTTTGTGTTGGTGTTTGTGTTGCTGTTTGTGTGGCAGTTTGTGTTGGTGTTTGTGTGGCTGTTTGTATTGCTGTTTGTGTGGCTGTTTGTATTGCTGTTTGTGTGGCTGTTTGTGTTGCTGTTTGTGTTGCTGTTTGTGTTGCTGTTTGTGTTGCTCCACCACATGCAAACCATTTTCCACTTGGGGACAATCAAGTTTTTGAGTTGAGCATTGATGGTGATGGGAGACCACGGCATGTTACCAGGACAACAACCGTATAACACACACAGAGACACACACATAGAGACACACACAGAGAAACACACAGAGACTAAAACACACACACATTATGGGTTTGCCTGGCCCCTCCCCCTCTCTCATAAGTTTCGTTATAAGTATTGTAAAACTGGTTTGTACAGTGTTACAACACACACACACACACACACACACAGACTCACTCACACACACACACACAGACACACTCACACACAACACACACTCTCGCACACACACACACACACACACACACACACACACACACACACACACACACACAGACTCACTCACACCACACACACACACACTCTCGCACACACACACACACACACGCACACACACACACACACACGCACACACACACACAGACTCACACACACACACACACACTCTCGCACACACACACACACACACACACACACACACACTCACACACACACACACACACACACACTCACTCACACACACACACACACAGACACACACACTCACACACACACACACACACACACACACACAGACACACACAGATGAATGAATCTGTATTTTTGATATTTGGCCCAGTTGAATCCAAACCTTTAGAGAATAATACTCTAAAACTCATGAGTTTGTCAAAATACAATAATATGTAAAAAATAAATAAACAATGACAGTCACTTAACACCTTTATTATTTTGGCCCAAACCAACGCTTATATTTTTAAACTCCGCCTCGGACCAAAATGATCTAAATAGTCACTTATGATGTAAATTCAACAGGTTTTGGCTCTGTCTCCTTTTTTCAAATAACAAAATTCAATGTCCTAATCTGTCATCATTAAAGGGCCATAATCTGTCATCATTAAAGGGTCCTAATCTGTCATCATTAAAGGGTCCTAATCTGTCATCATTAAAGGGCCCTAATCTGTCATCATTAAAGGGCCCTGATCTGTCATCATTAAAGGGCCCTAATCTGTCATCATTAAAGGGTCCCTAATCTGTCATCATTAAAGGGCCCTAATCTGTCATCATGAAAGGGCCCTAATCTGTCATCATTAAAGGGCCCTAATCTGTCATCATTAAAGGGCCCTAATCTGTCATCATTAAAGGACCCTAATCTGTCATAATTAAAGGGCCCTAATCTGTCATCATTAAAGAGCCCTAATCTGTCATCATTAAAGGGCCCTAATCTGTCATCATTAAAGGGCCCTAATCTGTCCTCATTAAAGGGCCCTAATCTGTCATAATTAAAGGGCCCTAATCCGTCATCATTAAAGGGCCCTAATCTGTCATCATTAAAGGGCCCTAATCTGTCATGATTAAAGGGTCCTAATCTGTCATCATTAAAGGGCTCTAATCTGTCATCATTAAAGGGCCCTAATCTGTCATAATTAAAGGGCCCTAATCTGTCATCATTAAAGGGCCCTAATCTGTCATCATTAAAGGGTCCTAATCTGTCATCATTAAAGGGCCCTAATCTGTCATCATTAAAGGGTCCTAATCTGTCATCATTAAAGGGTCCTAATCTGTCATCATTAAAGGGCCCAAATCTGTCATCATGACTAGGGGCCCTAATTCGGTCAACATTAAAAGGGCCCTAATCTGTCATCATTAAAGGGCCCTAAATCTGTCATCATTCCAGGGCCTTACTCTGTCCCTCCGTAAAGGGCCCTCCTATCTGTCCATCATTAAGAGGGCCCCTAATCTGTCCTCATTACAGGATGCCCAATGTGTCATCAGTAAAAGGGCCCTATCTGTCGTCATTAAAGGGACCCTAATCTGTCATCATGTAAAGGGCCCTAATCCGTCAGCATTAAAGGGCCCTAATCTGTCCTCATTACAGGGCCCTAATCTGTCATCATTAAAGGTCCCTAATCTGTTCTCATTAAAGGGCCCTAATCTGTCATCATTAAAGGGCCTCAATCTGTCATCATAAAGGGCCCTAATCTGTCATCATTAAAGGGCCCTAATCTGTCCATCAATAAAGGACCCTAATCTGTCATCATTAAAGGGGCTAATCGGTCATCATTAAAGGGCCCTAATCTGTCATCATTAAAGGGCCCTAATCTGTCATCATTAAAGGGCGCCTAATCTGTCATAATAATAAACTGCTCTTTTCCAATCCTTCTTTAACTGATAACAATAGTTCAGAGATATTTAATTTCTAAATTACTTTTCCACCTCTAAATCTTGTTATTGTTTCATTTCGATGTCCCGCCCTCCACCGTTTCACCAAAAGTCTGTGATCCGGGCGCCAGAACTCACCGTGGTGGAGCTAATCTCACTGGTAAAGTACCATGTGGGCAGAACTAAAAAAGGTCTCGTTATGATTCTCAAATCATTAACGACAAAACAAGGAATAAAACCAGGATTTCTATCTTTGTGAAAAAGGTGTTGGTTATAGATTTGTTGTTGACAAAACTCTTGTCTATTCAGCTGTTATGGTCCCAGCTGGATTCGTCTGCATATCTGGCAACCTGAGTCAGGGAGAGTGGGAGAGGCTGCAGTACCACTTTTGGCCACATGTTTACACACGGCTCCTTTAAGAACTTATCATGGTACTTTGTCCTTTTTCAACATCTAACCAGTGATGGGAATAACGGCGTTACTAGTAACGGCATTACTAACGCCGTTACTTTTTTCAGTAACGAGTAATCTAACTAGTTACTTTGACTGTAACTATAACGCCGTTATCATTTCCGACATCCCGTTACTGCGCGTTACTCAAGACGCACAATGAACTTCTCTTTTTCCTTCATGATAGGACTCTGTTGTCATGAGAGAAGGATGAGAAAACCTCTCAGCAATTATTGGCTGATGTAAAACATATTTCCTTTACAATCTACATGTCTACAGTTGAGAGGATGGCTCATAAATTGTGTTTTTGAAACAAATATGGGTCTTAATCGCGCTCAACCACGGCTTGTATCACCGTGAGGCCAGCCACAGAGGAGCTCATGTGAGCGCAGAAGGCTGCATACAATTCCATCGAAAAGCTCCTTTCTCCTCCTGGTTTATCTGCTAAGGGCAGCAACAGGTTTGGCTAACATACATATAACACATTTTAAGATAATTTAAAATGCATTTAGCGTAATTTTTCAATGACTATAGGAATGATAAGAAAGAGAGGTGAAGTGTTAGACGGTTGATTTTAGAAATTGGATGCACCCGGCTGCAGCTAGCAAAACAGGAGTTTATGGAGGAGACACGCGTTTTGTTTTACTTTTTAAAACTCATTGGACTAATTTCCAAACGGAGGATTACATATCTACGCTCAAACTATTATCTGGACTTAAACACAGAACTGGTCTGAACTGAAGTGGCCTGTGCAGGTCATTTATAAGGTAAGACCCATAACTCATAGTTTTGTGTTTTGTTTGAACAAACAATGCATGAAACATATTCTGCTGGAGCCAAACAAAGTGTCCAGTTTATTTATATGATGTATATGTTCATCTGATTGGGCTGAAGTCAGTGCTCACCGGTGTTTCCACATTCACAGCGGCGGGTGTTGGTGTTTAGTGCTTACAGCACAGAGAGAGATGAAGAGTGAGGAGGACTCCAGCAGCAAAACAGCCTTTTCTAGATGGAAATATTGGCAATATTTAAACTCACTGAGGTTAAAGGTAAAAATTCACACCTCGAGTGCACATTATGTTCCAGAACAAAACGAAAAAGTAACGCAATAGTTACTTTTACTGGTAACTAGTTACTTTTATAGTGGAGTAACTCCGTTAGTAACTCAGTTACTTTTTGGGAGAAGTAACTAGTAACTATAACTAATTACTTTTTCAAAGTAACGTGCCCAACACTGCATCTAACTAACTACTCACGGACACTGTGGGTTTGGGATTGCACCAATCAGCATCTCCAGGTCATGTGACTTCCTGGGAGCATCTTGATATCTGTCCATCTTCAGGTGCGAGAGCAAAGCAGAAAAGTTCTATAAGAGTAAAGTGACTATAATCGGCCAAAAGCAGATTGTGGCTGATAATGCCTCGCTGATATTCAGAAGGCACTGATGCTGACTCCCGCGGTTTTACTTCTGCGAGATGCAATCCCAGCATTCTCTCCTCTCGCATTTCAAATATATACATCATTAACAAGACGTACACATTATCCAGGAGAGAGAGAGTCACTTTAACTTTAACTTTACTTTAAAACTGTATTTGTTTGAGAAAAGACTGAAATATCAACATTTGTGAACACTGGTCTCTGTCCCTTATCGACACATGGCTCTATAGCCCCGTTTCCACTGCGGGAACTTCAGGGTCATTTTCCAGAGCCAGCCTCCAATGCAGGAACCTCCCCCACAGGAACCCCTCCCCCTCACAAGAACCTCCCCCACAGGAACCTCCCCCATAGTAACCTCCCCCACAGGAACCTCCCCACAGGAACCTCCCCCACAGGAACCTCCCCACAGGAACCTCCCCACAGGAACCTCCCCACAGGAACTCCTCCCCCCTCACAAGAACCTCCCCCACAGGAACCCCTCCCCCCTCACAAGAACCTCCCCCACAGGAACCCCTCCCCCCTCACAAGAACCTCCCCCACAGGAACCCCTCCCCCTCACAAGAACCTCCCCCACAGGAACCTCCCCCATAGGAACCTCCCCCACACGAAGCTCCCCCATAGGAACCTCCCCACAGGAACCTCCCCACAGGAACCTCCCCACAGGAACCTCCCCACAGGAACCTCCCCACAGGAACCTCCCACATAGGAACCTCCCCACAGGAACTCCCCCCACAGGGCCATTTACAGGGCCCAACAGAGTCCCTCCTCCATGGTAGGTACTCTGTTGGGCCCTGAACAGCTCCTGGGCGGGGCTTCAGGTTAACTCAGCTCTGATTGGCTAAAGCTAGAACAGACTCTGACGCCAGCAGAAAACACTAAAACAACCGTCATTCTTATAATCCATCAGCATTAGCCTGGCAGCATTAGCCTAGTAGCATTAGCCTAGTAGCATTAGCCTGGCAGCATTAGCCTGGCAGCATTAGCCTAGTAGCATTAGCCTGGCAGCATTAGCCTAGTAGCATTAGCCTGGCAGCATTAGCCTAGCAGACACCACTGGAAACAGAAAACAGCAAGATGTACAATAAATGTAGAAACCGTAGAAATGCAGACGGGTTTGAGGCACCGCAGCGAAATGAAACGATATAAGACTCATCAGCTTCACCTCGAAGGGGTTTCATCACACTCAGAAACAATACCGTGAAAAGTAGAAAAATATGAAGCAGAACTTTAAAAAACTCAGCAACTTGAGCGGTTCCAAGCGTAAAATAAAAAAGTATTGATTATGCTGCGATCGAAACTCATGACGTCGCCGAGGGTCATACTCTACAGCGACTCTATCCTTGCGTTTCCTGTGATTCTCTGATCTGTGTTGGAGACACTGAAAAGTGAATTGAATCCTTCCACCCGGACCTCGGCCCACCTCTCGGTCCAGTACCACTCTGACCATAGACTGCTCTGATTCGCTGGTTCAGGTTCTCCCCGCTGTCAATCACCGCTTGGAGGCGGGCTTTTGACGTCACGGATTCTGTCACGATTTGAAACAACTCGTTTCTGAGCCTCTGGAGAATGAAAGAGAAAGATCGCTCTGTAACTAAGGCTATATCCACACGAAGACAAAACGCTTATAATTTCAGAAACTTTTTCTGTAAACACGGAGTTAGCTCAGTAAATGTGTGCGTCCATATGAATGTAGTCAATACGCCTGAAAACGCTGTGAAACTATGCCAGACCTGTTGGTGGCGCTGTGACGCATTGACGGGATCAAGCCCAAACTTCCGTGACGGGAACTGGGCATGTGCAGAATGTTGTAAACAGACAACATGGCGAGTGGGCGAGCTGGTACTACATTAGTATGGACGGACGATGAGGTTGAACTGTTGCTTCGGGTCACACTGGATTACAAAACCAACAAGCTACATTGTTGTTGTCATTATTTTCTGAGTGCGGCGCATGCTGCTTTAACAAGAGGCGGGGCGATGACGCAAGCGTCTCAGATACACTGCGGAGAGGCAGTAACCACGGAGCGGCATATACGGAGTTTTGAAATCTTTCCACTCTGGGACCTACTTTCAAAAATGTTCGTTTACACCCCCCCAAAACGCCGGCCTCGTATGGACGATACACTGGATTGATAAAGTATTTTTGCGTTTAGGCCTGAGCTTGACTTCGTGTGGACAGGGCCTAAAGCCTAGCGTACATCGACAGAGAAACTGGAGACAACTAGTTTTAAGGCGGCTTTTGGCGACTGAGAGTAGATGATGGAGATGATCAGTTGCTGAAATCAGTCGATGTGAGCGCTCTTACAACTGGAGATAAACAGTCGGTCTCCAGTTTCAGTCAGTTGCCCGTGTTCTACTTTTCGGCAACTAGTTGTCCTCAGTTTCGGAGATATGACCCGATGTGCGCGCTCCATGCGCCGCTCCGACAACGTGTGTGTATTGCGTGTATTGCGAGCCCGCAACAGTTTATGTCAGAAAACACACTGTGGTTGAGGCCAGTTGCTGTCGATGTACGCGCTGTTATTCCCGAGACTGGTCTGCTACTGGGAGATGCCCGTTTTTGTCAGATTGTCGATGTGTGCGGGGCAGCAACTCATATGCGACGGATATAATCAGTTGCCAGTCCGATGTACGCTAGGCTTAAAGCTTGAGGGAATTCATGAAAAAACGACTGAGTAATGTTTAAACCAGAGAAAAGTCAAAAAGTGTAATAAGGGTCCTTTAAATCCACCTCAACAAACGTGTTTTTAGGCTCCGTCAATCCATAAATAATGCATTGTTTTCTTCCGTTGGTCATTTGGACACCAGCCGGACAAAGCGTCTGTGTGATTTATGTTGAAGAAAACAGAATGAAATCAAGGTTTTAACACAGTATAGTGATGATTTGGTAACCATGGAAACAAAAGAACAATAAAGAATCATTGAAGATGGTACATTAACAAACAAGAGATTTTACAAAGTGTTGGATGAAGCAAACCGAGGACAGAGCACAATACAACACTGATTCAGATCAGGAGATTCTTTATTGGTCCCACAGCGGGGAAATGTCAGTGTTGCATCACAAGTTACAGGACAGGAAAGAGGAGCCCACGGCACCAGATAAATGAACAACAGCTGTACTAGAAACACAATCTCTAACTCTAGCATCAATAACAAGTTTAACATCTCTATCTGGAAAATAATAATGATAAATATAAAGTATAAACGTTTTACATTTGGCGTTTTACATTTGGCAAAACACACAGAGAGACACACACACAGAGACACACAGAGAGACACTCACGGAGACTAAAACACACACAGAGACTAAAACAC